TCCATTGGCTTTATTCATATTTCTAGTTGTCGCTTTATCATCTGGCTCAACTTCCCGTTGACAGACATGGTAGACCAGAAGACACCTGGTTGAGCAGCCTCTTTGCCAACCGCCAGCATCGGGTTTTCCCTCCATCACGTTTCCAGCGTCTCTCCAATCACTCCTATGCTGATGGCATTCGTGCCAAGGCCAGCTCCGGTTTCGGTCTCAGTCTGATGCTCTTGGGCAGGCACGAAGGCCGAGATAACACTCTTCGATCGAGAGTCGCAGCCCATCCCCTTATCTTAGGGGACCTGGTTCCCGAGCCCAAAACATCTGGTCATTTTCAAGTAATTTTCAGCTTCCTCTACTATTGTTGTTGCGTCCACTTAAATTTCTTTCTAGATGTCGTTAAAACTAACAATTTTTTCCACTACTGTCTATGCTTTAGCAGAAACAACTTGTAAGGCATATACATTGAGGCGATTCTATAACAGTCCTTAGCACCCCAAGTAAAAACAGTGTCTTCAATCATTCTTTAGTACTTTTTTTATAGGTATTTTTTGTTTTACTCTAGCCTATTTGCAAATGAAACATGCGAAACTGTCACAAGGGATAATCTATTTCTTTTGGATAAGACATAAGTATTCCTTCTCTAGAGCATAAATACAGTTAACATTTATTTAAAATCTTATTCTAAAAGAGGCTAATATCTATTTCAATTTTGGTATTATCTTTCGAGCAGGTATAGTGTCTGCAGTTGTTGCATTCCACTGGACATTAGTATAATTCCGAAAAGCCTGGCATTTGCAAGTCTACGCATGGCTTTTAATACTTCTTTATAAATACCATGGCAATTAGACCATATGAGTCAATTTAGTATGCAGAGGTACGCACTTTTGACCTTATAATGGCTTGGAGATGAAATCAATTTACACAATTTTTGCCCATTATCAAATTCTATATCTCAAATCATGGTTGATTTGAATAGGTGAACGTTTTATTTCAGAAAATCAGGAACTATCAATAAGCTGACCAAATAAACCTCTAAATTATTTTTAGTTGAATTATTATCTAAGATTTTACTTCATTTATGTGAAGAAAGACTTTTTCGATTGCTCCTATAGTGCTTTGATTTTACTTGGCTTTTGATAGTATGAAGCGTGTGAATAGATTAGCCTCACCTGAGCTTGACGGAGTTGTGCTATGAATTCTTTGGCTAGCTTACTCTGCCCCCGATCCATCCATGCTGAACTTACGTTCGTTCCACAGTGACGGACATGTTCAGAGCGTAAAGTCATTCGTTAAAAACTACTAACCAAATGCTTATCCAAGAACAGGAACCTCAAATTTACAATAGAGGCGATATATTCCGTGGGGTTTAAGATATTACATCTTTAAACATGCTGGTTATAAGGAAACGTATTCTATACAGCCTGTTCTTATGCCCTGGAATAGTTACGAGGGCTTCAACCTTCAATCGACAGAAATAGGATCTGCCAAGTTGTCAGGGCGCTCTGTGCTCATAATTTTGCAATTTTCTTATTTTCCATGAAGCTTACGTTATTTTAGAAATAACAGAATGGATAGCAGCTTCTTGAGCCCCCCAAAGAAATTACTTGCCATTGTCATCTCAAAGACGGTGATTTGCCTCCGAGGGGCTAATACGTTTACTGATTTTCGTCTGAATTGAAAGTCCAGCCCAGTACCCTGATTCGTAGTTAAGAACATGTACATTTTAAGCAAAAGCATGCCACAGCCTACTTTTAATTATTATCTGGTTTTTAT